GGCAATCAAAATCTAGAGACAGCTGTGATATCAGACAGCTCTTTCAAAAATATTTTTTTCATGAATATAATTTACAAGCAACAATGAGATAGACTGGACTAAGTTCCTTAAAGAATTGTAGTATACACATCCAATATTTCAGAAAATAAAGAAAAAACCTCTTGCCATGAGGAGAAGATGCAGCAATTCCTGGACCTTCCTGCAGTATTCATCTTTCCCAAGAAAGGCAGCAGAATGATTCTGGTTTTATTCATTCCTCAAAGTACTGCTCTTGGCTAGCTATCAGGCGCAATTTATGTTCTACTTTTTTCTCAGCTACCTATAAAAACCATTTTCATGCAACAAAAGATACACAGCCCTTCAATAACAAACCAAATCCCTCAAAGTATGAAAACTTTTACTCCACCTTCATCGTAACTGCATGATGATCTTCATCTTATTTGTACAACCTGACAAGAGAACGATTACCTCAAAAGTAAGAAAACCCCTCCTTCAAAATTTCTAAAGATTTAGCATTACAAAAGACCGAGAACTTAAATACCAGCCATGCTTCACCACCGAAACAATACAGCTCAGCTGGTGAACACGGAGCAGGTGCAATTTCTTAACACAACTCTCCCACGTGCAGCAACAAGAGCATTGCCATTCACTAAACACACGAGGGCTCGGAGGACAGGAGCAGACTGCTCAGCGCTGGCTGACTCCAGCACGGGCCTCTCGCCTGCAGCAGGATGCACGGTCAGGTCCATCCATCCCAGCAGCTCCAGGCTCAGCCAACAGGAGAGCTCTCTGACCAGCACGAGTTAAGAGACGTGTCAAGCATCCAGGATCAGAAATGAAAGTCAGCTTGCTTGTGCTCCCCAGAGCTATCCCAAGATGGATTTCTACAATCCCTTTCCAAAATTATGACTGGTGGAGAAACTTTCTCTGTTGGACTATTAGCCACCATAAAACAGGTGATTGAGATAAAATCCCTGCTACTTTTTGCCAACTAAATCCCATCAACATGTAACTGTTACCAAAGATGAGGCTGTACTGCAGCTTGCAAGCATTGCTCCACAGGATACTGACCCAGTAACACCAGGGCTGCTGACGATGCTGGTGCTGCTGTTGCTTCAGTTGAGGTCTGTGCCACAGAAACTTCAGGCTGCAGCATGTAGATATTACATGAGATAGATCACAAATATCCCTACAAAATATGTGTTTATGTAACAGATACCAAATATTTTTTTCAGATTGAGTATTCTAGCAATTGTTCTTAGCAAGGTTAACCACGTACATTTCTACCACATGCCTTTGTGCACACCTCACTTGCAAGACCTTTCTGCACCTGTGAGCATTATGCCTTCAATATGATTACTAGTTTGAGCAGTGGATATTTTGCTTCTAAACACACATATTGCCCCTGAAAAAGCATGGCTCACAGCACATAGACAGGGGTGTGAGAAATGCTGCCTGTGCAAAAATATGTGCCCAGTACTCATGCCTACTTTAAGACTGCATCAGAGAAGTGACACAACAGCCACAGTATGATTTTAAATGAACATGTAAGATTACTGTTTGTGACATTACTGAAAGGAAAGCCATAATTAGAACACGGAAAGAAAGAGATCTGAGCAAACATTCACATAAAATCTCTCTGGAAATTAAAGGAGTCATACTTCTCTCTGCTTCAAAATCAATAAACAAAGTATCTGAAGAAAGCTAATAACGACAGCTGTAGTGTACTTGACTTATATCACACCACATTTTAAATAAGATATTGATTTAATAAAAAAAAACCATCAATGACGATTTGGAATTTTTTCTTGTTTTTAAGAAAATTGATGATGCAATGAGAGGTGTAACAACTCAGACAACAAGAGAGAAGGAAGAACAATGACTTTTATCAGGTGGCAGAAAGATACATTATCTTTTTGAAGATTCCTACCTTGCATCCTTCAAAAGAACTGTTACTGGATTTTACTCTCCAAGTTTTCCTTTCTTGCAATGCATCCATGGGTTAACCTTTTTAATGAATGCCATTATTACAAATAAGGTAATTTTCATTTTTTTAATACTAACTTTCCTAAACTTGTTCCCTTCATTAAACTGATAGAATCAACCTTTCCTATTTGCATTTGGGAAGCCTAGATCTGGACAGTTGAGATTTTAAAATAACTTAGGAAACTAAAGCCATACAGCAGACTGATGGAGCGGCAAACACTGAATTAAAGCTCTGAGTACTGCTACTGGACATTCATTTTGTTCAGGTATAAATATATTTGCAAAACACTAAATATAATCTCAGAGAATATTACATTTACATTACAAATGCAGACACATCCTGTCCAGTTAGTTTATTGCGTATTCCTCACTAAAGTGTGAAGCACACTGTTTTGCAGGTGTTCAAAAATGCTTCACATATTTTACATTCCTCATATAAAAGTAAAAAATACTGCTGGCTAAACACACTACTGCATTTGTTGCTACGCCATTTCTATTACCAGTTTCCAAACAGTGCTGCAAAATTTAATTGTTTTGCACATTTTGCAAGTTTACCTGTTTTAACCTTAATTTTATTATGACATGTTATTAATGTGAAATTTGTACTCTGACAAAAATACCTTACAATGGGGCACAGGCCAGAGACATTATCATTAAAATATAACTGATTCAATGTTTGTATTATGATTTAACAGAGACCTTGGAACATGTTGTAGAAAGACTGGGTTGTAAAACTTTGCTGAAAAACAATGTTTTTCCATCACATTTGGAAGCTGCATTGCTGGTCAGAGATAGCACTGCATTTGAAAACTCACATCTTTTCATGGCACAGCCATATCATATGAAGATACTCAGGAGGTGTAGGGGAAGAGACAAGAAAGCACTTCTGAAGGAAAAGACAAAGTATGAGATATAAGATGTTGGGTACCTAAACTGAACATTAACTGCTGAAACTTGGATGCTGTTTAAGCTTTCCAGAGCTGATAGCTGTAACAAAACTGAAATTTACATGTACGTCAGTCCACATCCACTGAGTGAAGCATCCAGTCTGGAGGTGCTAACATGTTCACAAGACTCTGACAAGCCCAGAGGAGAAATGCAGCACTCTGCTGTCAGAGGTGAGCTCATACCAAAAAAACCAAGCCAAGTGAGGTAAGACATATGCACCACCACCCTCTAAAATTACTCAGCATTATTTTCTTTAATATTTTATGTGCAATATTTTATTTTCATTATTGTATTTCTTGTAAACAGTAGCTTGCATAAGAATGAAAAAAAATACTAAACTAGCTCATAACGGGTGTATGATCTGTGGAGCAGTGATATTTTAAGGACAGCAGGAATTTTCTTTTTAAAAGAAAATCCTACAGCTATGCAATGTGGGTATGTCTGCACATTGTTCCAGTGATTTCAAATGCAGTTTTCAACGTATGAGCAAGGGAGGTGCTGTGGAGTTCCAGCACGTGAGCAGAACCCACCTGCCATAATCCTGATCTGGGCAGCAAAGATCCTGCACAGATGCAGGATGAGTTCCTGTCTCCTGTCTCCTGCTGCAGCCTGGACTCGCTGCACTCAGCAGCAGCTCCCGTGGGATTAAGTACAGTCAAACAATACCAAATGTAAAGTGCATCATGAAAAACACATGGCAGGCATGAGGGGAAAGCATGATTAAGAATTTAGGGTGATTTCCTTTCTTTGCCTTTTATGCAGGGAACACTTCATGAGGCTTTAGACCCTGGATGTGTATTTGCACAAAATAAAATGTTTGCTTAATGCAAAGATTTACAAACAGTAGTCATCTGATGGGACTTTTGTTACAATTATCCTTATTATTTTGGTTTAAATACTAGAATACCTATACAGGAGAACACAATATCTGTTTAATTTACTAGATGTAAATAGAAATTAAAATTCAAAATTTGTTTTGTCGGATTTTTTTTCTGTTTTGCCATAAAGTAATTTTTATACTTCAGCTAAAATAAGCTTTTTTTTTTTTAATATAGCATTTGCTGTTGGCCATTGAGACTATTTTGGTACATGTTTTGTAAATAACAGATTTTTTATCAGATTTATTCATTGACTGGATTTTTTTTAAACACTAAATCCCTGCAATTCTCTTTGTGAGAATAAAAGGATATTCTGTCATAAAATAATTAAAAACACTGAGGACTTTTTTTCAACTAGTAAGAATATTAATTGGGTTCACCATCAAAATGTGATAACATGTAAAATATCTTGTTTTGCATGTTAATGCTCCATAATTGCACAGAGCTTTTCAACTTCAAAGCTCTTTACATGAATTAAGTGGATGTCCCTGGAGGCCTTAAGCAACATTTTCTTTGCCTTCAAAAAGAAGATTTGCACCAGACAAAAGCTTTGTGAAAAACACAGAACTGGGCTTTGTTTTTCCAGCCTACTGCCACTGCACAGTGAGATAAAATATCACTACCATTTTGCAGATGGAGAAAAAAGGGGAACTTAATGGGACAATCCCTGCTCATCTCAGACTCGGTACTTTACACCAGGAGCGACGCACTGAGACAGTGAGAAACAAAATGCAACTCGGTTTTCCAGAGCCACGCCAACACATATTTCAATTATTTTTTTCAATTATACTTCCCCACCAAAGACCAAGTTGCTGAGAGTCCAGTGATTACCCCCCACTGCAACCACTCCACACACAGTGAATTTGCTCAAGCACGCATGAAGAGAAAAAAAGCATTTGCTAGAATTCAGTAAGGCTGTTACCTGGTACTCCATTTGGCTTCATCAAAAGACATTTGAAAAGTCCCAAAACCCAGGAGAGAAATAGTTATTCCCTTATATCAGACTGAAACCTATCACATATCACTATGCAGTTTTTCACACTGAACTTTCTTTTCATTGTCTTTTAAACCATGTTACAAATAAGAAACTGCTACAGATGTTTACAACATCAGTGCTAAAGAATGAGTATTTTTCCAGCACCCTTTGCCAAAAGAGTAAGACCAACAAGTATTCTTCTTTGTACTTACCATGTGATTTTTATGCCACTTCACTGGACACAGGGTGTAATACACTGGGTCTTTTTATTGCTCAAGTAGAAAGTGCTCATTACCTATTTATGTTTATATATAGGAAAAAACAAAGAGTTATTACAAGGGGCATACTTCACACTGTTGTAGTGGTTGATTTCCTCAAGATGGTCTTCTGGGGTTTTGGCGCAGTTTGTGGAGGCACAGTTGCAGGTCTTGGAGGAGGAAAGCTATTACTGGGACTTATCCCCAACCCTCCATTTTCCAGAAGAAATGGAGGCAGTGGAGGTGGAGGAGGCGGCAGAGGAGGGCACTGGTGTGGCAGCTTTCCCGCAGCCCGGGCGGGCTCGCTGTGCAAGTGCACCTCTCTGTTTTTGATGTTGTAGCGAACGTCACAGTCGGGGCAGTACCCGTGGTACTGCACCTTCTCGCTGAACCGCACTCGCTCCCTGGCTCCGGCCTGGGCACACCGCTCCTTCTCCGCCCTGTGCGGCGGCATCACCACCTTCTCCAGGCCGCTGCTGGGCACACAGCACACATCTCCGTTGGGGACGCGGCCCGGCGCCGCGGGCAGGCCCCCGTTCCGCAGCAGGGTGCCATTGGTCTTGAGCGGGTTGGCCAAGGGAGGCAGCCTGGGGGGCTCATCGCACCTGACGGGCGTCAGGCGAGGCGGCGGAGGGGGCGGGTTGGGCTTGCGCAGCACGGTGAGGATGGCGGAGGGGTGCGCGGGCGGCTTGATGAGCGGCGCGCTGCCCCGCACCTTCACCTTCTCCAGGCTGGAGGCCGTTGTGCTGCTGGAGCTGCTGTTCAGGGTGTCTGTTTTGGAGCTGTCTGTCATCTCATCCTCCAGCTGCAGATCACATGTCAGTGTGTCAATCTGGTCAACCACCTGCACAATAGCCAGAGTGAGAACAGTGAGAAAAGCACACACCAGAGAAGGCACAGAAAAACTAAACCATTCTCCGCTATCTGCTTGTCTTCCCCAGAACTGAAGCATCCAGTTTTTTTGACCATTATTTCTTTTTTCTTGTCAACGTAATAAAATAATCATAATAAAAATGACGACAACAATAATGATAAGGATGGCTAGTTTGCTAGCTCATCACCTGAATACAAGAGAAATATAACTTGAAACAGTCTAGAATGAAATTTCCTTTCTTTCCCTCCAGGGTTTACTTGGTAATATCATAGTGAGTGAAGTGTAATTCTTCAGCATTATGCTTTGCCTTCCGGTGCAGGGGGAGACAAAATTGTTCAGCTTTAGCTTCTACATGACAGCTTCTGAACCCAAAAATTCTGCAGAGCATCTTTTAACTCTGACCTTTCAAACACTCCAGATTTAAATTGCATTCTCTGCACAGGTGATATTATATGTGTAGAATCATATGTTTGCTACACAGTTTTCTGACTTTTTTTTTAACATAAAAGAGACTATGAGAAACAAAATCTCTTTTGTGTTATCTCCCTTTATGAGCATTTTCCATAAGATCTGAAATCCTCCAAAAAAATCCTGAAATAGCATTTGCTGAAAGAGAAAATGTTGCTTGGTTTTCACTCACAAGTATTTAAGAACTCATGCACTTTATTTAAAGTTTTCCTCTACATCTCAGAATTCTGGTTTTAGATTCTACATTGCTAGATCTTTTCTAGTCTTCAAGAATCCCTTTTCTACTGATTTTTAGGTATGGCATGAAACCAACGGTGCGTTTACTAGGAGCCTTCCCTGCAAAATGCATTTAACTCAGTACCCAGTTGAACAACTGTAGTTATGAGCTACACATAACTACAACAGATACCACAGGCAGTAGCACTGGGACACATTTAAAAACTGATTTCTGTCCTTCACAGCCTCCCAGGGTGTACCTAAAGTAATCAGTAGCTGAAATGTTGCTAACTAACTCTGGTGCATGAATAAAAACCTGTGCCATTGCTTTGGGTCCTTCTGGGAGACCTGTGTTGTTCTGGAGGAGGCAACCCAATACATCTGAAATGAAAAACCAGATGTGGCCATTGTGCCACAGAAACTTTCATTTCTATTTCCTGCTTTCAATAATTTGGTGCTGATACTACTAATTTCAAACTATTTTTAGGCATATGAGCCACATAATAACTGCAAAAAACATGAAAGCCACTACTGAAGGCAGTGATTCTTTATTCAGTCAGATCAGTCCCCCACTTATGTGTCCAGAAGTAAAAGGTAAATAATAAAAGCAAAACCACCATAAAATGAAAAAGCACTCCAGCTTTCACTGCTCATACTGTAAGCTGAGTTGCGTAATACAAAATTCATAAAAATTCATATGCCTCAATTCAGTTTAGTGGTCTCCTTCTCCTAAAACCAGCAAACATGCAAATAAGCATCATTCAGAGAGCTTTCAAGCATCTTTGAAAAAACTTTACAATAATTTTTCTCTAAAAGTGTTTCAAACAACTAATTTATTCAATATTCTAAGTCAAGTATCATGTTACATTTAAATTTCTATTTTTTCTCAAAAAAAAAAAAAAAAGAAAAAAAGAGAAAATATATACCCTTAAACTGGAGACATTAAATCCCTGAAATATTAAGGATTAAAAAAATTATTCTACAAGTTTAAATCTACAGTTCTACAGTTCTACAGTTGAACTCTAGTAGCTGCCAGATCCCACACATCCCCTCCAGGGCATGGCATATAAGAACTCAGGAAAATTTCAGAATAAAGGTAGACAAATCCCATCTGTACCAAAATTCATTCCAAGAATGACAGCTTACAAGTGAAAGAACTCTTATTATCACCTTCCATTACATAAGCAAAATAAGGCAGAGAGAATTTCTCAGAAGGAAACAGGAACAAAGAAAAAAAAAGTCAAGTTCTGGGCAGTAAGCCTGAAATTTAAACATCCCTCTGGATGGATTTGTGTAAATATAAGGGTCTGCCTATATATATATAAATATCCTACTGCATCCTATCATCTTTTCTTAAATTACAACAATGATAGAATGGATTGATGCAACATAAACCAAAGAAATTCCTTGGCAGGTTAAGAAACAGAAAAATTATGCATAGCAGAGCAAAAAATTTTCTCAAGAGTAACAGGAAAGTCTGTTTATGAACTACCCTTCAAGTTAATGACTACAGAGTTTATCTCATGCCTTCTAGGCAAATGTGTAGTACACATCAAAATTTTTTTTGTCACTTATCCGTTTGTAGAACATAAATCCAGCATGAAATGGCTCTGACACAACAACACAGTTTATCTGTCTAGATTCATTCCCACCACTATTTGTGAGTCTGTGTGCTATTCCTTTCTTCTGCTTTTTTGTCCCAGAAGGTAAAATTCAAATAAGATGAAAAAGCAACACGAGAACTCATGACTAACACAGAGAAACTGTTGTAGTTAAAAAAAAAAACAACCCCTTGTTTCACAGTGCATCCTCTATGGAAGTAAGAGAGACAATGTTAATTAAAAAAAAAAAAAAAAAAAAAAGATAAAAAGAAAAGATGCTCTAGTTGTGCAGAAATGTGTCCATTCTTTCATTTCTGAATAAAACAGGACTTGATTCACATGCACAAATATTGGAGATACCTAATTATATAGTTCAAGGAGCCCCTTAGCCTTTAACTGGATTTGAGCTGTGCAGATATGCCCACTTCTACCCTGCCAGCAGTATCCTGAGGCTTCAAGCTTTGTAGAATCCAATGTGACACTCCTGAATGAACCAGGACATCAGTCTATTCTTATCTCATCTAAGATACCTAATTATCTTAGCAATATTAGGTACCCAGAGTTGGATTTCTCTGCCAAAATACAAGATTACACCCTTAGCAACATGCATTTGGACTCAGAAATTCTGTGCTGCAACTAACAGAGCATGGAGAATTAACCAGTAAAATCAAGTTCAGGTAAAAAGGAAAAAAAATCTATTCAACACCAAATAACAAAAAAAAAAAAAAAACCAAAATCCCCACTGAAGTTGCAAACCATTTGCAATGCAAAGACATTTTACAGTTAACCCAATCCTCAGTGTTACCAAATTTTTATATAAAGTTGCTTAAAACTACAGAGCTAGCATAACATATTGCTTTTCCACTGAGGTCAAATTGCAGTTCCTGTTTAAAAGAACTTCAGAATCTAGTCCAAGAAAAAGTCTTGTGATTATTAAAAGCAGCCTGTTCTGACCTAATATTTCCATTGTTTGAGCTGTACTTGTAAGTTTTGTCTAGTTTTTAGCTCCCCTGTTGAAGGCCTTTTGCGGGCAAATGTCCTGACTTCATTATACCAATACTCAAAACTCTGTATTTCTCACAAGATGCCAGGATCTCATTCCAAGAATCTAACTTGTAATCATAAGACTAAAACAAGACACAGAAAGTAACATGTACTTCTTGCTTGTATTAATAAACTTCTCAGAAAATTAGTCACAAACACTTTTTTTCACTGCTTCTTTGTGTGATTATCTAATATACATCCAAAGTACATTTATGGAGAGTTTTGCTGTCTCCTTACAATAAATGCTTCACTAGGTTTGTTTTTCCTCCTATTTAAGGAAGGTCCCAATGTTCAGTGAATATAGAATCGACTGTCTGCCCTCAATCCACCACATACAATTGTTGAGCTTTTTTTGCAACACTTAAATAAAAAAGCAAATTGCTTTTCAGGAAGGAAATTAATATACATTTAAAGATTCATGATTTTTAAAGTTCACAGAAGTAAAAAGGTGTCATATTTCTTAAGATGTTCACCCATTAGCCTTTTTAAAATGTTTTTCAAAGATTCACATGGATTTACAAACTAGATTTCTTTTTTTTTTCTTTTTTTTTCCTTACTTGCTTCTGTACAGGCTAGTGGCTCTCAAAAAAGCTGCATAAACAAGATGGAACTTAGGTGATATTACTTCTGAGATGGAATAGGTATAATTCATGTAGTATTCTTTCGTACTACACCATAGCTATGTGCAGCTACGAGATTTAAAAGTTTGCTGAAGCTTACCAGAAAATCAATAGTAGTGGACAGATGCTGAATTTGATTTTAAATCAACCAAAATCAAATCATGTTATGAGACTAGTTCTTGTTCAGAGGTAAAATAATTTTGTGGTGAAATGAAAAAATTGGGGGACAAAATAAATGGAATAAAATATATTTTCTTTTTTTATTTTTAAAGCAATCCCAAAAACTTGCAAAGTTTGACAAAGACAAATATTGCACCTTTTGTGCAAAACTTAGCTACCTGACAAGCCACAAAAATAAATATGTAATTAAGAATAAGAGCAATCAGCTCTACCATGAAGAGACTGCTCTTGCTTTAAGTAAAGGACTGGGAAATATGCTATATCAGCAGCTCTAACATCTCATGATTGCACCTCTCATCCCACAAAAACTGTTCACTCGCTACAATTAGTACCAGAATCTTCTAGAAAAACTGTCAAACTATGTATATTCCCATCACTTTATCTTATGATTTCCTGTACAGTTATTAGACCTTTGCTGACAAAAATGAAGTTCAATATATACAAGGAACATGAGATTAGCCCAGCTGGTCAGATCATGCTGCTAATAATGCCAGGGTTCTGGCTTTGATCTCTGCATGGACCATCCACTTCAGAGTTGGCTTTGATGATTCTTGTGGGTCCCTTCCAACTCAGAATATTCTGTGATTAGGTCTGTAATATCTAAGGACACAAACAAAGCTTCTTCCTTATTAAGCGCCTGTAAATTCCAAATTACCCCAGAGTTAAAAATGAATGAAACACAGGTCCCTGTTAACAGTGAGAACCAATATCTCCCTTTACAGTTTAAGCTGCATAACAGCAAAATAATAATGTTTTCTCTGGTGCTTGCATTTCAGCTTCCATCCATGCTCATATCTTTTGTATTTTCCTGCAGCAAACTTCTCTGCATTGCTACCTGTCC